TCTTAAGAACCACTGGACCAGAAATATGAAACTCATTAGGAAGCATCCTCATGTAGTGTAGATCGAAGTTTGTTCAAATCATTACCCCGGCGTGAGACGGGGCCACAGTGGGGTATCAGAGTTTAACATAGGAATACATTGGAAAAGTCTTGAATAATCTTTTTCTCAAGAACAGCAAACCCATGTTTGGTCATAGTTATACAGGTCGAGGAAACTACCTTATATGGATATTGTTGCGATTGCGCACAGAGGTGCTCACAGCAAACAATGGTCCAATCCAGTGAATGAGCCGAAAAGCATGATGGCCTACTACATGTTTATTTTTACTACAAACACGTGAATCAGGGGAATTTAGGACGCAAATGCAAACGACTGCAGGAAAGTCAGCTAACAATTTTTTAAAAATGTGTTATGAAAAATGCGAAGATTGGGTACTAATTAAGATTCCCCATGCTCACATTAACAAACAAAGTAAGTTTTCCTTGTTAAATAGTACTTTGAAATACCGCTCACAAAGTCATCACAAGTAAATAAGACTCAAGTTCTTTAACTCGATATTCGTTAATTTGCCATGTTACTGGTTAAGTTTATTTAGTTGTTGTTCCGTTATTTCTTACTAGAAATTAAAAGTTGCATTTTATAAAAAAAAAGAATTCTTAAGTTGCACTTTTTAAAAATTATTTACCTGCACCCTCATGCACATTGATCATAGAACGTGAGAGCAAATATTTCGTAGTTGTATACGTTGGAAACATTGACAATACATGAACACACCTCAGAGTTGATTGTTTTTGGACCAAGGAATAGTCACGTGAAATTGACTTTTCACTGAAATTACAGCACTGGAAAAGCTGTCAACAAACGGAATTGTACAATGGAGTGGAGAAAACCCTATTTGTTATCATTGTAAATCATTTGTATATAAATTTGAGCATGGAATTAGTAGATGATGATGTTCATATTGTATTAAGTGTGTAAAATGCTTGGAAAAATATATCAGGTTTTTCCGAGAGCGATTTGAAAAATTGGGCCTTTTAGAAACACACGTGTAGTATTTTTGTAGTAGACCATAATGCAACTCATTGAGCTGATTGGTCGATTTGTCAGTCACGTCGGTTTCTCACTTAACATGTAAATTTATTCCGAGGTCACAGAAAATAGTTTCCTCGACCTGTTATATAAAAGCATTCTCTGAAAGTGTATGTTCAAATTAATACCCCCGAGGGGTCATCAACATAAAAGCATTAAAAAAGGTAATATAGATTTAGTCTTCTAAATAGGAGAACATAGGAGCCATTATAGTGGATCATAACAAAGGATCAATAAAAATTTTCAGCCGTTGTGTCATATCAATTCAAAAAATTACTTAGGAAGTGTGGGTATAAGTTTGTTCAAACCCCACCTCTCCCCTGTACCCAATTTTATATTTTTTTCAATACTTAACTAATGTTTTGCTTTTTTCTAGCCATTTGCTCAGATGAGGGATGTGGCCCCTAGGACTCTTGTTTTATATCTTAATAATATATTAATTTTTTTCATAATTCAAAAAGCTATAATAAACAATTGCGCGTTAAAGCCAATGAACTATTTACATAGGTATGATGAAGAAAAGCACAGCTTCCAATAATGTGAATTTCATTGCTTCTGGGTCATGGGTTCTGGTGTTAGGGCGGGCTCCAATGATTATGCAGTGAAAATGCATTAATTCTTTAAAAAATCTCCTTTGTTACTGGGTATTATGTTGATGATTAAAGTACATAGTCATGATGAGGAAGCTTAAGGGTGATTTTTCCAGTATTGTGAATTTCAAGGCCCTTGGGCAGGCATGCCTGGGGTGGATGGGCTTTAATAATTATATACTGAAAATAAATTAAATATTAAATGCTTTGAAATCCGCTTTTTGTTGGTATTGATCAAACATTAATAATGAGCAAGGGTGCCTTTACCAAAATTGTGAAATGTGTGGCCCCAGTCACATGTAGTACTAGGGGTTTCTGTGTGGTTGGGCAAGTCTGATTATGCAGTGGAAATGCATATCTTCTTTGTTTCTTTGCTCTGTCTCTGGCTTTTAAGTAATCAAAGTAAGATTGCCCAGTGTATGAGTAATGGTTCAACTTTCAAAATAGCGAATTTCATGGCCTCTGATTTGAAACAAAAAAATTCATTTGTTGGAAAGTTGTTACATGAAATGTAGATGACAAATAAAGCCCGTGGGCCTCTTGTTTATAAACTTGACTAACTTTTTAATCATCGACTGCCCTTGCTTAGGCAGCAAAATACCCTGCACAAGGAGTTTATATCTATCAGTTCTTTCGATTTGCAAGAGTATGCCCAACATGTTCGTATAAACAATTTCTAAAAAGAGTTTTTTTTATTGGCAAAGTTGATGAAACAAGAATGTCAGCAGTCTCTTTTCAATTTATATTTTGTTAGGTTCTAGGGTCGTTGTAATGACCTGTCAGCGAATACAAGTTTTCATATAGTCAAATGCTGACTGACTTTTTCATACTTACTTATTGTTTGACCATAATTTACACTAAATTGTCGGCGGATTTTCCGCTATTTTTCGATAATGGCAAGGAGTACCGGGCGTTGGGGTACGCTCACTCCTCCCTCGCACCTGATCCGTGTTTGCTCTCATCCTAGGAAACCGTTCCTGGCAGCTCAGTCGGTAGAGCGCTCTCTCCGTGACAGGGGGGTCGTGAGTTCGTATCTCGGTCGTGACTGACCTAGTCGATAAAATGGTTAGCAACTGTTCCTTTGCCATGCGCTCGGCACTATTATACCTCACTGCTCAATGGCCCTGAGTGCTTAGTAATGGTCAAAATTTTAAGCCCTAAACCGGCATACGGTGACGTCTCAATATGAGTGAAAAATTATCAACAGGGACGTATAACAATATACAATCAGTCAATTAATCATCCTAAGAATTATTGTTCAATGGATTAATTGAGCTTGAATACTGTTCGTTATATCCATGTATTTCATTTTATAATAACAGGCCACTTCATTTATCATGTAGATCATCTACAGTAAATGAATAAATAAAAATTAATCATACATAGAAAATGGTTACATCAAGAGACTTTCTTTAATGTTCTAGAAATTACAGTTAACAGTAAAGTAAAGATTATATAAGAAATTTCAGAATTTAACGGTTACATTGCTTTTCCGTTTTTGTGTTGATATTGATTTTTGTCACAAGTGACATTGTGTCAATGTTTGATATTAGCTTATTGTACATTGTATATCGGTGAGAGTTATCTTTATTTTGGCATTAGGAGTTATCGTTTATTTCATTTACGCACTATTGGTCACTGAGTTGTATTTGTTCTATTTTTATCAACGTATACTCGTCGAACCCGTTTGAGTAGTTTGGTCAGTTATTTATACTGGGTGTTGGCTAGTGTGTGTCAGATGAGGTCTGGACGCCGTGAGTGATACTTTACCCATGCTTAGTGATCTTGGGTGTGCCTTTTATATAACCCATGCTGTGTGAACTTGGGTGTGTTCTAGCTGTTTCCCCTGCTGTGTGATCTTGGGATTCAGGGATGTTTGTAGCGGCGTTGCGAGCAAGACCTGGGGGCCGACAGTATGGTTTTTATGTATAAAATGCCACAGCTCAGTAAGTTTTTATACTTTACAATATTTTTGTTGTTAGCTTTAAAGAGCAATTTTCTATGTAAAACTGATAGCAATATAGCGAGAATGTATATATTTACGCTCTAATTCATTTACTTGTTAAACGACAAATACATGTTTTCTTTCGTTATTTGTTCGTAAAATCTAGTATATTGAACAGATATGTGTTTTGAATATTTTATTAGAAAACCCTATGAAAATTGTAGGTGACCAAAATTGTATATTAAGCTTTTGTTCTGGAAGGGAGGATTGGTGTACATGGTGAGGATACTTTTGGGATATGGTGGACCGGAAGGGACAATATGGTGGACCATACATTGCGACGTGGTGTGAAGTGTGAATCTGTCCAGTGATGACCATGATTGAACTTTTGGCCGTTTTCATGTTTATTGTACATATGTAGATAAACTTATTGTTAATTTTTATAAATCTTGTTGTTTCTTGGTATACAGGAGGTCTTACAAAATATTATTTATTTTGGTTTGTAAATTCTGATTTAACGAATCCATCACAACTTGAGGTCAGTTGTGACAATTTTACATGCTTATTTTTATCCTACAATTTCGGAAGCCTTTACTTTTACCCCATAATTAACACACATATACAACGAAAACATTTCATTCTTTGAATAATCCTAATCTTCTTTAGAGAAAAGGATACGGCAAATTTTAAATTATATTTCAGACTCTTTTTATGATTTTTTGTATGAACTGAAATTATTATTACTAGTATTTTGAAAAAGAAACCTTTTATTTAAGTCAAATGTAATACATCTCTATGTACTCTATCCCTTTTCACTGAGACAGCAAAGGGATGCACAAATAAATAAGGCCATAAACATAACTACAGTTACTCTCGTAATTTTATCACATCTGAACTGAAAATCAAGAGATTTTCCTTTCAGAAAATGTTCACTTCTTGTCTAAACATTTATCTGACCGGCATGTGAAGTCTCTAAACAGTTTATATTTCGACTTCTTTGGAAATACTTGAACAACTTCAACCAAACTTGATATAAATATCCTGGAAGAAAAAGAATATAATACTTTTTAACTGAAGAGCCATGGAAACTTTTCAGGGGAAACAACCCAAGAATCAATGAAAAATTGGTTGTAACTTTTAAAAATCCTCACAACAAGAACATCATATTGAGAATGTTTTCCAACTCATTTGAAAAACCTCATTTTATCCTATTAATTGTGTTGAACATTTTAATTATAGTAAAGTAATGCCCTTGCTTATTGGTTAATTTTGCAAAGCTGCTGAGTTGACAGGAGAGTTGGAGAAAAAAAGGATTGAAGCACAAAATAAGAAATAACTAGGTTTAGAATGCCGTTTTTATTAAACAAGAAAATTCACTTTTACAGATATAAGAGAATATATACTTGATTTTTAGGTGACGGGTGACATTACTGTAAAGTGTTGTCTCTGTTTTGTTTATTGGCGTCTGTAGCAAGGACATTCTCCTCTACAATATATGGGGACACCACTGTTGATAAAAGAAAAAGTAAGATTTTATCTTGTATAAAATTCTTTTTCAATAAAAAAAATGCTTTGAAAGGTTTGTAATTTTGTAAAATTTTGTTCTGTTAAAACATTTTGATCCTGAAAGAATAAAGAATCTGCTTGAACAATTATCATTATCGTTAAATATTTCCCTTTCATGTGAGGAAAACGAGTTTGTTTGACCGCTTCTTTGTTATACATGTATATATCTTCTGCCAATTGTTCTAGTTAAGTTTCTTTCTGTTCATTTAATGGAAAATATAACATATATATTTTTAACATACGCGCATAGAAGGAAACAAGTATTTCCGTAAGTATACCCATCTGCGCCACACACAGGATCCCAAATTTTAGGACATGGACATCCTATCCCTATAAAACAATGGAATTCAAATGTAGTCTATTTTCACATCCATCAATATTTTTCTTTTTCATCTTACAATCTTATTGTACAATCAATTGATGGAAACAATAATAATCCACACTAATAAATGCCGGTTTTGATACATAATTACTTAATAGTGTCAAAGGTAACTACGAACCGTGCAGATCAAATTATAAATGTGTACGTATTTCACTCGCTTTATTAGAATACACCTAATATACATATATGTAAAAAAAAAAAAAAAAAAAAAAAAAAAAAAAAAAACGATAAAAATGTATTAATAATCGTTACTTATTCATTGTTCGTTATTATGTACATTAATGATCCCATAATATTGTGAAAGGAAATCTGCGTAAAAGCAAATAGTAAAAGCATTTTCCTGCTTTAAAAAATCTTGATAATCTAACTTGCTAAAGTACTGTAATTCATTTATTTTGAAAGAAAACAAAATAAAAAATGAAACAAAATATTTATATATGAAGAGATATTTAAATATTTAACTTCTAGATAAATAACCACATGACAAACATAATGAAATGAAATAAAACATCGATCTTAACACGCTTTTTGCTATTTAATAAGAACTCTTTACAAAAATACAGATATTGGTTTTGGTAAACTCTTCATAATTTTCTTCTTCTCTCTTGCTTGATTGCAAAATTTATTTTTTAATGTAGAAAAATAAAAACAAATTCTCGGGTAAAACTAAATTTAAATAATTACTTATTGCAGGATTTATTCATATGATACATGTATCTTCAAATGTATCTTAAAATTTTGAAACTTTGTCTAAAGTGAGTAAAACTTTGTGAAGAGTTAGTTGTTGATTTTTGGCATTTTCCTATTCCTTGCTTGAAAAGTCGTACGCCTAACCTTAAGAATGCAGTGTTTATAACCCTGACAAAATACTAAATGAAAAGATGTTGCATTTATACATATCTTTTTGTCTGGAACTTACTGTATGTTAAATAGATGTTAATCACTAGAATTTGATATTTACTGCTGTTTTAGGCGTGTGTAAAATTTTTACTTATGAATACTTGATGTGGCGGTGCTGTTTGACACAAAAGACATTACAAGGTTGGACATTGAATAGTCATTTATTACTAAATAAATGAATACGCAACTAAAATATATCAATATATAGCAAAATAGACAACACTAAAAAGCCGTTAATCAATTAATGTAATATAAACAAAAACATGCATCATTAACGATATGTTTACTAATATGACAATTGTTCAATATTTAGAAAAAGTAATTATTCTTAACTGAAATTAAACTGAAGAAAAGAAATTCTGTATTTTTCAAATGCTTACTTAATTTTTATAGACATTCTTCGTAGAACAGTCGCAATTTTCTTAAAATATTGAAACTTTATTGCACATGATACAAACAATTTTTGTTCTAAAAATTGAAAATAACAACCTGTGTCATGTTTCAATAAGTAAAATGAACATTTTAATCGCGTAGTTTTTTAGTTTTCACAAAAATGGAATTTGAAACGAAAAATATTTGTATTATGTAACAAAGAGGGCTACAAGAAGGTAGAATTTTGAACATCATAGAAGGATTACAAATTCTTAATTAAAATATTGAAATTTTATTAGCTGCATCATTTGCAACAAAAATAGACCCAGAAATATATACCAATCCAACTATCTATTTTTTTGTATCATCTGTCCTTTAGTGGGAAAAACTTAGCAAAGAGTATAGGTTGTTGTTGGTTAATGATATTTGTCTTTACTTTGCTTGAAAATCCATATGCGTAACCTTGAAAGAGCAGTGTGTATAACTTTGACATATCTTTTAAATTAAGAAATGTTGCACTTTAGGGTTAGCCAATATCCCCTTGTTTCGTCTGCTGCTTATAGTATGTTGAATAGATTTTGTTATTTGTAAGTTAGAAATGGACGACAATTTCCTGTTGATTAAGTTAACATATCTATATTGCAACCTTTTAAAATATTATTAACAACTGAAAATGGTCTGTTTTAATTGACCTACCTTCTCTTGGGGCTACCAAGAACAGGACCACACACACCAATACTACAGTACTTCCACCAACCATCCTGGATAAGTACTCAAGGTAATTGTTGGTATGAATTTTAATATTCTCAATTTATAGTTGCTGTTAGCTCCTCCCACTACAGGGAATCTCACTTTTCTGACTTGAATTTACAATATTGAAAGTACCTAAATGGACAATTTGTCAAGGTTCCACAAACCACTGATGGTTGCATAATCTTCATGCACCTTGCTTATTAAATCTGCTTATGTAATTATGGGGTTTCAAAAGGTTTTATGCATTAAAGTATTCATTTTCCAAAAATTCATCATAATTGTGAGCATTTTTATTAATAGCTTATATTCATTTAAGAAATAAAATATCATTTTTAGAGTTTCATTGGGCTATGACATGAAATCGGTGGGCGTTATAGTAGATTTGGTCACGTACCGACTTCATATCATAACCCAATGAAACTCCAAAAGCTGATATTTTATTTCTTATATTCATATTTTACGTTTTTATTCATGTTACAAAAAATACAGGCATTAATCCGACTTTGATTTTGAAATGCAACGTAAATTATCTACGACGTCATGTGACGTCACAGTCAGAACTTTCCAAATTGCTTGTGCAGTTCGCTTTCCATACGCAAGAATGTCTGATCATGTGACCAACTGCAAGTCATTGAAAATTGAATTTCAAATTTATTGGCATTGTTATATCAAAAAAGACATCAGCAAATGTAAATACCGGTATTAAGCACTGGATGATTATCAAATATGTTTGAAATGGGCAACCCATTAATGTCCAACCACGTGCCTTTAGATCCGACCAGTATTTCCATGAAGGCGACCAACACGTGTGTATCCTTCTGTCATCTTTTGATATATTGCATTGTTTCATCCAGGAACTTCTACTTCTGTCAAATATTACTATTTCATTTTCATGATTCATTTTCATATTTCCCCCTCTAAATATAATAAGTATTTGCGTCAAAGGCTAAAAAACTTCTTAATATAACATGGCCTACTGAATCAAAATACCGGTACATAAAATCTTTAAATCTGTTAACATAAATGTATTTTTTATCACTAAAATTCCATCTATTCACGTCAGACGTTGCTCTAGAAATCATCTCTCTCTCTCTCTCTCTCTCTCTCTATTTCTCATAAATCTCTTACAAAAATTGTATATAAGTTATAATCGATATTGGTCAGTTTTAAGCAAATATTCTGTATCAGTTAACTTGATTTTCGTAAATTTTAGGATAAGGACCAGAACACTCCAAACGATTACTATATCTGTTTAAGGAGAGGGAGGTTTATCCCTAAAAGATTCCCCTCCCGAAACATGATGGCAAACCTATTACATATCCAGTTTGAACTTTGCTTCGCCTATGAATGCTGGAAAGTGCAACATTCTGGACTTAATAGGAAGAAAATGGACAGTGCCATTTTTCAAAATTATAGAACACATTGTTTTCAATGTATTTTTTGTAGGTGGTGTACCACATAAATAACAAAATACATCTCAACGCACTTTTTAAGGTCATATGGTTTTTCGCCCAAATTAAGGTCACATTATTGTAATAAAAATTAAATTTTCGAACTGCAGTACAATGACATACCCCTACGTCAGTTTCCCTTGAAATAAATCTTAAACTTAATTTTTATTTGACGCAAGTGCAAGTTAAAAATGCTTACCTGATGTTGAAACTGTATTCATATTAAATATTAAAATATTAAGCTCAACATTTAATTAAACGAAAATAATGAGTACTTTCAACGCAAATATAAGTTGTCCTTGATGAAAACGACAACCAACCTAATCTGAACTCCCGTCCTTCATATGCAAGTGCCCCTAAAATGCGTAGACACAAGCCGTACTTAAACGACAAGTTAACTGAACTATGGACACTCTAAGAGACCTTGAAAATAGTATTTTAAGGGGGCCGAGTTTGGTTTTCATTGCGCAATATTTCGCGCATTATAGTAAGCTTACTTTCTGTTTTAAAGCACTTTTTTTCACTTCATTAATAAAATTAAATCAACTTAAGAAATAACAGGTTTAAAAATGTAAGCACAGTTTTATATAACTGATTTTTTAACCGATTTTGCAATTGGTAGGTAGTTTAACGTCGTTATAGTGTGTTTTTGACGTTATGATAAACTGAAGCTCTTAAGAAATGGGTCATAAAAATGTTATTAAAGAAAAAGTAATAAACATACGCTATTGAAATTTAAAACATAGAAATTTAAGAATATCTTCAATATTTTCCTAAGTTTTCATATAAATCTTTTGTGCCCGTTATATTTTGTAGTACTCATAAAAAAAAGGAAAATTCTTTAATTTTTTGCATTTTTTGTTACCCTCTGGTAACATGAGGGTAGAATTTTGTGTTTTTTACATATAATGTACAATATAGTATTACTCTTCATATATTATAGTTTTAACAAAACGTATATTGTAGTACGATTTGTATAATATGCTTTAAAGTGTTAAAAAGTGGCACTTTCCTACATAATCCTATAGTAAATGAACCTGTATTTTGAGACGGTCCCTTAAGATCTAGAATACCTGGACGGTAGATTTTCCCCAAAGTTGCATTGCATGTACGATAAAGTTAATGTAATTTATATATGGTTAAAAAATGCACCCTAAACGCAATGTAAAAGATCATCATATTAAGCGTGAATTACGGGAAAAAATATGCACAGAACGCCTCAGAAAAATATTTTCGTTACTATGAAAGAACGTATAAGAGATCATTAGCTCTAAATATCAAGTCTGTTTGCCCAGATGATCCTCAGAAGTTCTGGGAACAAAGTAAACGGCTTTGTTCTCATAAAAAAGACACAATCCCACGGAATGCTATGACGAACAAGGGGAAATAACTTCGGATGAAAAATTACTGAGAAAATTGTGGTATAAAGAATTTTTTAAAACTATATAAAACTGAAGAGGTGGCATCAGGTTTCATGGAGGAGTGAACATGGCCTGCCAATCCCGTCGTGTATTCCTTGTCATGATCGGGGAATAACGGAAAATTAAGTCGTTAATACAGCGGTATATTATAAATAGTGGTCTAACAGTTAGTATGAAATCATAAAGTCAGCATTTGATTCAACGATAAATTGTATTTCCTGACAAGGTCATTTCGTTTCGACCATAGAACTTACGAAATTATGACGTTGACCAATACTGCTTATATTCTTGTTTCATCAACTTGTTTGTCAATAATTTACCTTGCTTTAGAAATTGTTCATGCATATAGAATGCTCTAGTGAATCAGTTGAATTCCATATGCAGGTGATGAAGGAATATTGCTGCTTAAATAAGGGAAGTTGACTACAGAAAAATTAAAGTCATCATATTGATCACAGAGCTTGGTTGTTAGATTACCATTTACGTCTTTTTCAAGAAAATACTTGTATTCAAATATGAAACAGATGTGTCAGACTCCATGGTATCTTTTATCTCCATTTCACAAGGATATATTGTATCGACACAAGAATAGAAATTACCATTGTTAATTGACAATACGTCGTCGATTTATCTACGTGCCAGGTTGAAGACCACAGCATGAGTTTCCTTTTTTTCACGCGATTTTGCACAAATTCTGGTTCATAGGAATACAAAAATAGGTCTGCTAATTACAGGGCGCAATTTGTACCCATGGGAATTCCAATAGATTGTTGCAAGATCTGGTCTCCAAACACAACATAGATATTATCAGTCAGAAACTCAAGCATCTTTTTGTTGCCGACTTCAAAGTACTTGTGTGTACAATCAGAATGTTTTTAACAACGGAATTTTGCGAATAACCAATGGCAAGGTAAATAAATGTACGAGTTTTATTTTTATTGAAAAAGCAGCTGTCAATGATGATGAAAAGCCTGGAATTTAATTTTTTCATGGGAAATGGTTGTGTATAAAGTTGAAAAGTTGTAAGTTTTTAATCTGTTCATTTTGGTAAAATTTTGTGATTTCAAATTTTTAAGTATCCGCATCTGATTTATACTACGTCTTGAATATATTCTTGCACAGTACGTTCAAAGATTCTCCTTCACTACTGTTAATATCTTAGTGAGGAGTAAATAAAAATGCTTGGTTGAACATTTACTGAAACCTGCTTATGAGGTTTCTGAAGTTCTGAAGTTTCTGAATCGAGTATGTAAGACATGTTACGTGTTGTAGACTTGTGGTGTAAAAATAGCGGCAACTATTTATGTGTACTCTTTGATGTGAATATTGATTTTAAAAGAAATGCCGAAAATAAGGCAAAATCTGGAGGACGAGCTTTTGGATCCATGGTATCAACAATTCACTCCCTTAAATTGGTCGGATTTAAACATATACTGGGAAATTATATCTCAAGTGTGTTACCCATAAATTCTAGATTACTGTAGTGGAGTTTGGGAATCGCTTAAATCTAGAGGTGATGGAATATTTTTGGAAGTACTCCATTTCACACCATTGATTGCAATTCAGTGAGAATTCTGATGGAAGCCATGATACAATCAACACCAGATTAACATCCTGTGTTCTGGAACAGTCTAATGATATCAGAAAACGACCGATTGTCTGGATAAGATTGATTGAATGTTATTTTGAAGTCCATCTCGAGAATTTTTCACTCATATGCAATCTAATTAAAATTAGATCCTTTGATCCGCTCACCTAAGATCGCTAAACAAAGGTGTAGCGATATTAGGTGAGCGGATCAAAGGATCTAATTTTAATTAGATTGACTCATATGGAGACGCCACCACTTGCTGATGAAGAGTTGCAAATTTTGTCCTATACTCGGCACTCAGGGCAATTGAGCAGGGAGGGATCTTTTTCGTGTCAGCACCTACTGCGACACGAGACCTCGCTTTATACGGTCCCATTCGAAGCATCGGTCTTCACATCCCACAGTGGAATTCGAACCCGCGAAGTGAGGATAGAATCCTGACTTCGCGACTCTAAAGCAGAGGTTCTTATCACTGTCACAAGCGGGCGACTGTTTGACCAAAATTTTTCTTTGGGACCGGAATCAAAATATAAAGAAAAATATGGAACCCCGGCCCAAAACAAAACTATTACTGGATTCCCTGAATATG